AAGGCATATATATACCCAATTAAGAGCGAGCAAAGTTAGAAGGATAAACTTCGCAAGCCAGCGAAGCAGATCCAATAAAACTTTAAACGCAAGATTATAACCAATTAAGAGCGAGCAAAGTCAAAATGGATCTCTAATTAGCAAGATTATAACAACCAATCAGAGAACGCAACCAGCAAAGTCGATTCATTTAACTTTAACATTTTTATAACTTTCAATTTTAGTATATAAGCATGATCTTCATTCATTCATAACAATTCCTCAATTGTAGTTTCTTAGTGTTTTATTGTTTGACGACGAGTTGGTACTAGACGTATTTAGGTTCCTAACCCTAACCCCAACCCTAACCCCAACCCTAACCCCAACCCTAACCCCAACCCTAACCCCAACCCTAACCCCAACCCTAACCCCAACCCTAACCCCAACCCTAACCCCAACCAAAGTTAATAGCAGAACGCTCGTACTAGCAGATATCTAAATTAATGTGAATTATATATCTAAATTAATTTGACATGCGTACATAGATGCATATGAATATTTGATTAATTAACAATATTAATCAGTTTTTAATTACTGATTAATAATAGATAAAAGTAACAGAAGAAAACAGTGCACGATGATGTACGGCCAGTACATGTATGTACATGTAACAAACTGTTAGTAACGCGCTTCTGTAGTATGAATAATAATAATAGTACAACAGTATTTTTTAGGATTGCAATATTTAACATTATTACTTTAAATGAAACTACAAATTGTAGTTACAACTACAAATAGTGAACTGAACACGTTTTATTAAAAGGATGGTCACAGATTTTCTACCTCTGACAGAAAAATCACGGCACGTGATATTATTTACAATTATTTATTTATCTGACAATTAACAAACTTCATAAATTATAATCCGAATAGAGATAATCAATTGATCACAAATTGCTGTTGGCGTTCAGAATTGTTGTAATATAGTGGTTCTACCCTATTCAACATCTGTGTGCATTTAAGGAATTTGAAGAATTTGACAAATTTGAAGCGTTGAACTGTAGAGCGTGGCGTGATATTTTAGTGAACTACAATTAGTAAACACGTTTTAAAGAAGGATTGTCAAAAATTTTTTACTTCCTACAAACTTAACAGCACTATGGCGTGATTTATACTTTCGAACCAATCAGCGTTAAAAGGAGGTCTTAAAATATGTATTCATAGTTTTTCATTATTTAATTAATGACTTGGAATATACGCTGATAAGAATGTAGGAAAGAAGCATATAAATAC